CCTTAATCATCAGAGAAATGCAAATCAAAACTACTTTGAGGTACCACCTAACCCCAGTAAGATTAGCCCATATCACAAAATCCCCAAACCAGAGGTGTTGGCGTGGATGTGGGGAAAAGGGAACACTTCTACACTGATAGTGGGAATGCAAATTCATTCATTCTTTCTGGAAAGACATCTAGAGAACACTGAGAGAATTAAAAATAGACCTGCCATTTGATCCTGCAATTCTTTTATTAGGTATATATCCAGAAGACCAAAAATCGAATTACAACAAAGATATTTGTATCAGAATGTTTATTGCAGCCCAATTCATAATTGCTAGGTCATGGAAGAAGCTCAAATGCCCATCGACCCACAAATGGATCAATAAATTGTGGTATATGTACACCAAGGAATACTATGCAGCCCTAAAGAAAGATGGAGACTTTACCTCATTCATGTTTATATGGATGGAATTAGAAAATGTTCTTTTTAGCAAAGTATCTCAAGAATGGAAGAAAAAGTATCCAATGTATACAGCCCTATTTTGGAACTAATTCATAGCTTTTATAGGACTGTCATAACCTAATTATAGCCTTAGAATATGGGAAGGGGGTGGGAGAGGGGAGGTGAGGAGGGTAGATGAGGGGAGGGAGGGTGATTGGTGGGGTCACCTCTATGGTTTATCTTACAAGGTTACAAGTGAATTTTTCTAAAAGCAGAGTATGAATGTCTTAACTCAGTAACTAAGAAAAAGACATGAAGGTTATTTTAACCAGTTTGATAGGAGTATTTCTAAATGTATATGAAAACAGCACACTGTACCCCATGATTGCATTAATGTACACAGTTATGCTATAAGAAATAAAAAAAATTGAAATATCATCATATTGAGTATTACCCTTAACAAATATGAAGTGACCACCCTTATCCTTGCTTACTTTTGTTGGTTTAAAGCCTATTGTATCTGTGAATAAAATTGCAACACCTGCTTTTTTTGCTTTCCATTTGCCTGGAATATAGATGACCATCCCTTCACCCTGAGTCTATGTTTATCTTTTAAGGTAAAATGAAATTCTTGTATGCAGCAGATATCTGGCCTGAGTCCCCAAGAATTCTTATTTATACTTCTTTAAGGACATACCATTCATCTTTATTCTGAGTATACTAATCAGGATTTTTTTTTAGAATCTGCATTTTCACCAGATGTTTAGGTAATATGCCCCACACCCAGGCCATTCCTTGTTCCTGATGTAGTTTTTCTCTGAAGGAGTATCTGCCTACAGCCTAGTCCCTGTTTATTCCTATCTGGGGTCCTTTTCTTCTCAAGACAGACATTGCCTCAAGTCTGCTTAGCCCCAGCTTAGCCCCCACCTCATGCCTTGTTATACCCTGGTGTGGAGAGCGGGCCATGAGGCGACAGGGCCCCCCACAGCCTCAGCAGCATTCAGAGAATGAACCCCCAACTACTTCTCCTCCTTTCCCCAAAACAACCGTATTTCTTTCTTAATGCTCTGCCAGAAGTCATGTAGCTCTTTCTTTGTCTAGTTAATCTTTTGGAACTATCTAGAAATCTTTCCCTTTTTACTATTTAACATATGTTAACAAAGTTAAGTAGAAACCATTAATAGGATGATCTGTTTTTGATAAAGTTGTTTACATTTTCTAATCATATTGTAAGACCCCAAATATGTGTTTTTTCTATGCTACTTCCCTGTAAACAACCCTGCTGAGATACTATAAAATAAAGCTGATTTTGTGTTTTGATGCTGGCTGCAGCCATCCGCTGAGTCAGACCTGCCATCCCCTCCTTTGTCTCTTGTGTCTTCTCTTATGTTATATTTTCCTCAATCCCCACCGCTTCCATTCTGGTTCGTTCCCCTTCACTGAGCAGGCTTGCGGAATTTCTCTGTCTGGAAATGAAAAAACTTTGCCTGCAATAGAGAGTCACCCCCATATGTTGAGAGGAGTGACCAGACAAAGGATTTTAGGAAGGCCCACCCTTTTCCATTGGATTCTGAGCACAGTTACATTTTTATATGAAAATTACATGCAACAAAATACACAGATCTTAAGTATAAAATTGAATGTTTTGACACATTATATTTGCTTGTACAACCAGCTCCTCCAATGAAGAAAAATGTTTCTAATATCCCCAAAGTTCCCTTATATGCCTTTGTAATTAATCCCCAACCTCCACCTTCTAAGACAAACACTGTTTTAATTTTAATTTCTTTCACTACTTTTTTTTGTTTGTTTGTTTCTTGAACTCAGAAGTGGAATCACATTTGTGTCTGGCGTCTTTCACTCAACACAATGTGAGATTCATCTGCGCTGTTGTATCATGGCGTGTTGTTAATGCTGAGCACAGTCTATCTTCTTTTAAACATTTAGCTCTTTCTAGTATTTCGCTTATTCTGAATGTTCTAGTGTTATCACTTCTTTGGGCTAAATACCTAGGAGAGGAACTCTGGGTCTTAAGACAGGACAGTATGCATTTCTGAGTTTTTTCTCTACAGTTTAACTCCCTCTAGTTGCTCCCACACTTTGCAATAGGTTTACCTCATACTGCCCAGCCTGCAGGCGGTGGGATGGGGACCACAAAGAAAGCAGTGGACTTGAGGGCAGAGGAGCTAGAGCTGGGGTCACCCCAAGTTCCAGGTCTGTACCACCAGACCCTTCCTATCCCCCTACCAAAAGGACAGGGAGTGGCTTTCTCCAAATAAATTTCCTTTGAAGTGGCAGCCATGTGTGTGGTCTGCTCTTGGTGGCAAGTGGAGTCTGCCACTTCCTCACCTTCAGTGATCCCAATGTATGCCACAGAGCACAAAGGTTGAAGTCATTATCATGGCCCCCAAAGCTCAGCCACCCTCCCACACTGTCTCTAACATGCAAACCTCCTTCCAGCAAAGGGGCTCAGCCACCCTCCCAAACTGTCTCTCCCACGCAAACCTCTTCCCAGCAAATCACTCACATGTTGGTTTAGGGCCTGGTTGATCTTTCCTGAAGATGTCCCTTCTCCTTCCAGGATGGATAGACTGTCCGGTGAGAATGGGCCCCTCTCTGGGGGAGGGGCCTGTTTGGCCTGTGTGGGGCGGGGCTGGGTGGAGGTGGGGACCCTGGCTCCAAGGCTCAGCTGGAACCTGGCTCTGGGCTTGTGCTCAGTCACAGAGGGCTGGCCGGCTGACTCTGAGGAAACTGTGGCCTGGGCTCCCTGCTACCCTCCCTGCTCAGACCCTGGGAGGCCCTAAGATCTGAGAAGATGACACCCTACCTTGCCCTTCTCCTGCATGAACTTCAAGAGGATCAATACTAAACTGCAAAGTAAGAGCAAGGAAGGCCAGCAAACTTGTTTTTCTCATGCCACTTGCTTGAACAATTTCTTTCTAAAGTAAAAAAAACACATATCGATGTGGGCTGGACGCCTGTATCTCAGTGGTTAGGGCGCCAGCCACTTGCAGTGGCTGGTGGGTTCAAACCCATCCCGGGCCTGCTAAACAAACAAACAAAAAAAATTGATGTGAACAAAGTGCATCCTTTAGCTTTCCAGGTTTTCAAGGTTCCTGGGCCCTTTTGGATGACAGTGTCAGCAGCTGGTACCACTCATACCTCTGTTTGCCTGGTCCTCTATGCCCTGAAATTGTGAGCACCTCCAGAGTGCCCTGCCTTCTGCACCAAGACTTTCAGTAACTTTTGTTGAATAAACAAAACAATGTTTACATCAATTTAAATTTTAAAATCCATTTAAGGAGAAATTTTTTCTCCAAGCAACCATTTTAGAAAGGAGACAGGGAAGGCAGTGGTTTGCCATTTCTGACAACAGGAGTCTCCTCTAAGTCACTTTTTCATTCCTGGGTCTGGGGCTGCTCCTGCTGCAGGTGCTGGAGGTGCCTGGCCTGCTTCATTTTCCTGTTCAGGTTCCCTTGGTGGAGGAGGAACTAGTACTCTCATCCTTCTGGCCCTCTTGCCTTTGAAGTGTTTTGTTTGGATAGACATATCAATTAACGCAAAAAATGCAGCAACACCCATAAGGATCTAGAAAACAAAAGGATCTTCATTACTTTTGCTGTTCATTCCAAAGGCCTCATGTTTCCTTCAGGGTTCCTCTTCTACAACAGGTGCTATTTAACACATCTCCTTGTCCCCTCATACCAACAGCCTTGAGATGCTCTGAGTTTGTCCCTCCCTCAGCTTCAGCTTTCTCCATTGCCACTGTTCCATCATCTCATCTCTTTTTATTTCCTCTCTTTAAACTCAGCCAGAATGGACCCCTGCCTGTACCCAGCTATAAGAAGGAAGCCCTTAACTTGGGCTGGCCCCCTAGACAGCATCTTTATTTAAATGGCAGCTCACTTTTATTAAACTTTGAACCTGAGACTTTTGTGGAAAGCAGACTTTTCCTAAAGCAGGGGAAACCACACATATTCCAAGAGAGGTGAATTTAGAGCAAATACACAACTCACGTGGGGAGACTCACCAAACCAATTAAATAAGGCTGCGGCAGGGACTTCCGACTTATGTAACCATAGGCCACGGCTCCCCCAAGGAATATAATGGCAAATAGGTCATTGAGGAGGTCCTGAAAGTGGAAGAGTGCAGTCAGCCTCAGACAAAGCCCAGGGCCTCAGCAACACCTGACTCAGTGTAGCTTCCTCCAAAGGAATGATGTTCAAACTTCTGCCTGATTTTTAAATATCAGGATACACACCAGGCTGGGTGGACATAGCTGTGGCCTCCTAGCTGAGCTTTCTGAGTTATGACCTAAAGTTAAGGCTGCTTAACTGTCTTGAGAATTTGGCTCCCTCACCTACCAATGATACCTCATTTTTGTTCTAATTTTCATGTCACTGTTTACTAATGAAGATAAGTATTTTCAAAAACATGTTTGAGGCATGTGAGACTCCTGCCTATTCATACCCCTTGCTCATTTTTCTGTTGTTTTTTTTTTTAATTTTGTTTATGATGTTTCCTGTTGTAAAGTTTTACTTTCTTTTTTGCCCTGTCACCCTGGAGTAGAGTGCAGTGGCGCCATCACAGTTCATTTGTAACCTCAAACTCCTGGTCTCAAGTGATTCTCTGCCTTGGGCTCCCAAGTAGCTGAGACTATAGGTGTATATCACTGTACTCAGCTAATTTTTGTATTTTTAGTAGAGATGCAGTCTCACTTTTTGTTCAGGCTGGTCTCAAACTCCTGACCTCAAATGATCCTCCTACCTGGGCCTCCCAGAGTGTTAGCATTACAGGCATGATCCACTATGTCTGGCCATTGTAATATTTTTTTTTT